CGCACAGTGCTTCGGTGCGCTCATCTCCATCTTCCTCTCCACCGCGATGTACGTCGTCTTTTCGAAGGCGTACCCGTGCATCAACACGCTCTCGAGCTCGAGCTGCGCTTTCGCCGCGCCCGACGTCAAGTCTTGGCGTGCCGTCTCCATCGCCGTGTCCGACTCGAGCCTCCCCGTGCCTCTCTCATCCGGCATTGTCGCGCTCGTGCTCGGCGGGCTCGTGCTCGTGTGCACGTACGTAAAGTACCGCTACATCCCTGCAGAGAAGCACCATTGGTTCCCAAATTGGAATGCGGTCGGGATTGCCTTCGTACTGGGACCGACCAACACGTACCCCGTAGCGATGCTGTTTGGGAGCATCATTGCTTTCATGTGGAGGCGCCGTTTTCCAAACGCATGGTTCGTCTATGGCTACGCCGTCGCTGCCGGAATGATCGCGGGAGAGGGACTTGGTGGAATCGTCGATGCTGTGCTGGAGATCGCCAAGGTGTCTGGTTCGGTGTACGGCACGAGCGTTGGGTGCCCGATGAATGAGTATTGCGGATGAAATTTGCTTCGTTTGGTTGTATAGATGTCGAAATGACCGTTCGTAACTGTACAGTCAAGTCGCTGATGCATTCCACGACTGTATGCATGACCCATGATACACGATGTAACACACCTACAATCACCTCGCTGCTCTCATAAATGCATCTCAACGCGACGATAGTTATCGATAGTTATCGGAGAGAATGCAATGACTAACCTCACCTAACCGTCCTTTTCCACGCCACATTCCCACCAGTCGTCCCTTCTTGCAGACGCACAAATGATAGGGCAGGCTCAGGTTTTGCATTTTTTTCAATGTGAAAATTATTGATGTAGAGAAGTCAAACAGAGACACTTAGGACATCGAGAGCGGCGCATTAAATTGCAATCACACGAAATTTGATACCGCTCGACAATGGGAGTCTGCAATGCGTTTGGAGCGGCGAGGTAAGCAGCACTGCCTGTCCAAGTGAAGTTGAAACTCACTAACGGTATGCATACGTCTAGGCACACTGAATAGATGGGGAAATTGTTGAAGCTATCAAACACGCACGCACGGTTCGTCATGGAGGACGGCATGAGTACGCTGAGTCCGCGCGCCGGTACAACATCGAATTTTGTTACAAAGTAATGTTCGAACCAATCGCCGTGTGGAAATGGCAACGGCAAGCTCCTAACTGCATGATGGATGCATCGATGATCGTCGGATGGTCGAACGCGACATGCTCAACCAGGTGCGGCACTGCTTGCCGAGATGTGGGTTCGTTGACCAACATAGGGTTGATATCTCCATGTATAAGGCAGTAATTTTCCGAACCAGATCTGGGCACGCACACAGAAGAAAGTTGTTGTTGCTCCCCAGTGTCTCCAAGCAAAATTCTTCATAGGAAGCCGGTTGGATGGTCGCGAGATATTGCAGATAAGGTTCTGCTGCATTATGGCCTACTCCAAGTGGCAGTCGAATTGCAAAGAAGGAAGTCGGAAGGTAGGCAGCTGCTCCTTAGTTGACCGTGCTGTATTACCCCGAAACTATGATGTTCTGTCCCCCCAGCCCAACACTTCTCGACATCGCCACCGATGGCCACTCGCAGGTGATCGCGATACAGCGTCTTTTATGGCGCTCCGATGGAAGGCGGCCCTCTCGTAATGCGTCTGCTCTATGCATATGGCTGATGGCACGCGACCCGTGCTAATGTTCACGAGGTCAGTTTCATCAATGCTTTGAGCTTCTCCGCAGTGTTCGCCTAAACGCCCTTTGATACGACAGCATCCTCTGCTTTTTTCGAAGCACTTCATGCATAGATTCAAGTGAGAGAAACAATCCCTCTCAGTTATCACCACCGCAATCTTCTACCATCTTATTACCCGCGGGACGATATTGTCAATGCACTCTCTATATGCTATGCTGCGACACTCATATCTACACGCTAGTCTCGACTGGCGGTTCGCTTATCACTCCTTGCATCATATAAATACTCCCAAAGCACAACAATTATGGACGCTACCTCCTGCGCTCCGGTTCCCAGCTCTTGCTCACTATTTAGTCCAACCTGGATAGCCCGCCTCCATGCTGGACAGTACGAGCGACTCTGAAAAGGTTCATGTCGCACCGGATCTGCCCACCGTCGTGGAGCAGACCCAAAAAGAGGACAGATTCGACGAGAAAAACTCCACCTTTGACGGGGTGGAGGAGGAGCCTTCGCACGATGATCATGACGATGGCGCTGTGCTGGACTTCGGCACTGACGAGCCGTTCCCTATGGATCCTAATGCTCCGCAAGAACAGCAGTTTACTTTTCGGGCCGTGTTCGTCGGGTGCGCGCTCGGTGCTGTGATTTCTGCTAGCAAGTGCGCGTACACTTTCTTTTGTTTCATTAACTGAGCTCACGCCAATAACGCGTAGTGTATATCTTGGATTGAAGACTGGATTCACATTCGGCGCGTCCATGTTTGGGTCAATTTTCGGCTTTGCGATCCTTAAGCCACTCTCTAAAGCACTGCCAGAGAGGTTTGGTGGCGGATACTTCGGTCCCAAAGAGAACGTTTGCTGTCAGAGTGCCGCAACAGTACGATGACTTCAAATATTTCGAGAGCCAAGTTGACATGTTTGGTCAGGCTGCAGGCTCCTTAGGCCTTCTCTTTACCTCTGGATTCCCGGCTGCCTATCAACTTGGATTGCTTGGCAAAAATCCATCTGCTGACTTCGGGTAGGGCATAATGTCATGAATAGCTGATAGCGATCATAAAATCAAACCTTCAGGCGCCTCATTACGTTCACGATCTGCTGCGCCTATGTCGGCATCTTCTTCACCATGCCTCTGCGCCGCCTCTATATCCTCAAGCTCAGGCTCACCTTCCCAACCTCCATCGCCACTGCCTACACCATCCGTTCCCTCCATGTCGGCACGCATGCCGCCGCCATCGCGCGCAAGAAGACATGGGCGCTCGTCATCTCGTTCGCGATCTCCATCCTCTGGCGCGTGGCGAGCGAGTATGCACCCGGAATCATGTGGGACTGGCACTGGAGCTGGTGGTTCTATCGCGCGGGGTGGAAGTGGATCATTTGCGCTGAGAGCTGGGTGGGCTTTCATGCTGGAGTTCGCCGCGCTACGTCACATATACTGACCTTTCCGTAGGGATGGGTTTGGGAGTGGACGCCTGCATTCATCGGTTGCGGCCTACTCGTCCCGATGAACAGCTCCGTCTCATTCGCGGGCGGTGCATTGCTCGCATGGGCAATCATCGGCCCCGCGCTCGTCGCTACCGGTAAAGCCTTCGGCGAATCCTACTCATCCCAGTACCCTGGCTATATCGACTATTCGAACATGGTGCTCAGCGACCCCGTCCACAGGCCCTCGCCCGAGTACTGGATGATCTGGCCCGGTTGCCTCCTCCTTCTCACCTCCAGCGTTGCCGAGATCGCCGCGAACTACAAAATGATCATTACTGCGTTCGCCGTCCTCCTCGAGCCTGTGATGCGGCGGCTGCATCTGGGCAAGGAGCGTGTCGAAAAGGAAGATGGATTCTATGACCCTGTCCCGGAGGACCAACAAACGCCGTGGTGGATGTGGGTCGGCGGGCTTGTCGCGAGCACGATCCTGACGATGTGCGTGATGAAGTATCAGTATGGCCAAAATCCCGGTATCACCCTCCTTTCAATCATCTTCGCATTTATCTTCTCCCTCGTTGGCGCGGAGTGCATCGGACGCGTGTCCGTAAACCCGGTGACTACTCTTGGCAACTTTTCTCAGCTCGTGAGTGAAACAGGAATGCTTTGCAATGAGCCTCCACTGATCAGCCATGCAGATTTTCGGTGGGATCTCCAAAGGATCGGGCCTCTCGCCCACCAAGAACGAGCTCAACAACGGGCTCATGGGCATGATCACCCTCGCCGCTGCGGAACAATGTTCAGACATGCTCTGCGACCTCAAAACGACACACCTCCTCAGCGCATCGCCCCGCGTGCAGCTCTACGCACAGTGCTTCGGTGCGCTCATCTCCATCTTCCTCTCCACCGCGATGTACGTCGTCTTTTCGAAGGCGTACCCGTGCATCAACACGCTCTCAAGCTCGAGCTGTGCATTCGCCGTGCCCGACGTCAAGTCTTGGCGTGCGGTCTCCATCGCTGTGTCCGACTCGAGCCTCCCTGTTCCCCTCTCGTCCGGTATTGTCGCGCTCGTACTCGGCGGGCTCGTGCTCGTATGCGCGTACGTGAAGTACCGCTATGTCCCTGCAGAGAAGCACCATTGGTTCCCAAACTGGAATGCGGTGGGAATCGCATTCGTACTGGGGCCGAGCAACACGTACCCCGTAGCGATGCTGTTTGGGAGCATCATTGCTTTCGTGTGGAGGCGCCGTTTGCCAAACGCGTGGTTCGTCTATGGCTACGCTGTCGCTGCCGGAATGATCGCGGGAGAGGGACTTGGCGGGATCGTCGATGCTGTGCTGGAGATCGCCAAGGTGTCTGGTTCGGTGTACGGCACAAGCGTTGGGTGTCCGATGAACGAGTATTGCGGATGAATTTGCTGCGTTCGACTGCATAGATCTTGAAATGACCATTTGTAACCGTACTCCCAAGTCGCTGCTGTATTCCACGATCGTATGCATGAACCGATGATACACGATGTAACTCACCTGAAATCACCTCGCCGCTCTCGTAAATGCGCCTCGACCATAGCATGTCAGAAAGAATGCATCGTATATTCCCCAGCATCCAAGCGGGACGTACGCGAGGCGGGATAGCACAACAATCTACACTGCATGTATGTTTATCATAAACCCCGCGAAGAACAATTTCTTGTGTGTCCGGCAACACTACGTTACCAGCGTCCTCGTAGCGTGAGCCAAGCAATCAAGGAACAGCACGATATAATAAAAGGGAGGCGGGCGAGCACAGAGGGTATACGTTAGTGCGCAGTACGTGGGCATTATACTGTATGCTGGTGAGATAGCGTCCGGTTCGGTGAGCGAATGATCAGACTGTCTATAGGAAGAGCACAGGAGGAGGAAGGTCATGTGTAATCTAGCAGGATCCTTCATACTGCAAGAGACGGCAACAGTGAGTACTGGCGTAGAATATCAGTGAGGCTGGCTGCAACGTACAAGCTCATTTCTGGGCCAGGAATACCCAGCGCTAAATGGCCCTGGTCCTGACCAGGTCTTCAAGTGCGGGTCTGACAAGCAAGAAAAGATGCACATCAGCTTGCAGGCAGATAGCATAATATACCAGATGAGAAACGACGCACTGGAGTACGCCTCCATATGGGCGCTGATGTAATCTGCGGTGGGGTACTCCGCCGGGCTGCACCCGACGTTCATTTGCCCTACGCGCTGGTACACGCGCACGTAATCGACGAGCATCTCGCCAGATGATGGAATCGACGACAGACCGAGCTCCCGCCAATTATCTACAACGTCACAATCAACGCGATGTACTTATCGAGATGGCAAGATCAACGTACGTGACGGCGCAAGGTTCATCACAATCGACTACGACATACCAAGGTGGTCAGCTGCAAAAAAAACGCGCATATATAGACAAATGGGCTCACCATAGGCTCCTGCGAAATCAACCGACGGCCGACCATCGACCCGCCCTTATCTTGATCTGCACCGACGCCCACCCCGCTCAACTTCGCCGTGGGCCGACCGTCCACCTGCCATGTAACGAATGCCTCCTCCAGGATCGCGGGTTCACTATGATACTCGAAGCCTGTATAGACAAGCGATACGGCACATCAGAAGATCTGCATGCAAGTGCAATGTAATTGGGACCGACCGAAGGTAATGAACTGCGGCTCCGAGTCGTCAGATGCGAGCGCTCGCGATGGGATCTCCGTGGAAGTCGCAACGGTCTGTTGCCTAGGTAGTGCAGTCAGCAACAATACCCACGACCCGCAATACCGCCGGCACAGAAAAAGGAACCCGCCCACTCACAACTGCGATCCTCTGTGAGCCATTTCAAACGATCGTCGTAATTATCCAATTACGAAACGTCCATCATCGATCAGCAAATGACATGTAACAAGACGTGAAACACGATCAGACTGACCGATAGACACTCTCACGCGTAGCGGACTCATTGTAGATCACAAATTCGCCCTCTCCGCCTGTGCGCCGGCGCCCACTCGCGAGCGGCGCAAACTGCGCGCTCTGCACAACCTTCTCGTCCCCCGTGTCTGCGTACAGGATGTCGATCTCTGGCGCCCCGCGACCTCTCACCTTCTCTTTTGACTCCCCAGGATGCTTCTCGCCGGGGCACGTACAGGCTCTGAGTCGCAATATTGCATAAAAATCGTGCCGGGAAAAGCGCGGAGCAAGACTCACGAGAGACGCTGACCAGGGAGCTGCGATAGCTGATCGCCCTCCTTGGCGCTGATGTGCAGCGCCGCGGCGGGCCCGGTACCGTTCTTATAAGTCTGATTCGGAAAGGTGCCAACGTCGCACTCGTCGTAGCTATCGAGCCGCACGATAAGCGGGAAGAGATAGGTTATCAGTTAGCAGGTGCCATGAGTAGAGAGAGCCGCCTACCTATACGGCCATACTCCGTCCAAGCTAGCTGAGTATCCGGCGCGCGCGAGGTTGCCGAGCGTCCACACCCTTGGCGACTGCAATGCACCCTGCTCAGCAAATCACGCGTGTAACAGCTCGATCACGCACGTATCCTCGTGCACCAGGGAGCGCCACCGCAACCTCGACGTATCCGCCCGTGAAACACATCTTGTTCCAGCTTTGTAGCATCCCGCTCCGCCAGCCCGCCTCGTCCTCCCGCTCCATCGCGATGTGCAGATATCCGCCGGCTGTGCCGACCTGCTGCGGGTCATATCGCTCCCCTGCGGCGGATCTCGGCAGCGCAACGGCCTCCCAATGTGGGTCGTCGCCCGCGCGAAAGGTGCGCCCGTCTGCGGAAAATTCATCAGAGAAGACAAGCTCGTAGGGCGTGCCGTCGAAACCGGTGCGGAAGTGTGATGAGAGCGGCGTATCAAAATCGATGAGTTGTGCTGGGGATTCACTTTGAAGTCTCATTCTGGTGCATGGCAGTGAGCAGTTAAATTAGTGGCGTAGAGCAGGAGACTTACTGGAATGCATCGGCGCGCTTTACGGTGGAGCTAGAGTTTGTCGCCGTGTCAGTCGTACTGTTAACGTTCTCTTTGAGGTCATCATTGTGGTAGAATGAAACGACGGGATAGCATATAAAGAGTGTGAGGATTGCTAGAAGGAGGGTGACAAGCATTGAGAGGTTCCACAAGCCGCGCCAAGAGAGTGCAGAACAGTGTGTGTCGTCGCCATACTTTGGGTCGTACAGATAGTCGTCCTCTTCCGGTTCATCCTTGCAATCCTCTGTAGGATCGTACGCGTAAGGAATGAACCCACGTAGGCCAGTGACCATAGTGCCCGAGGGATACTTGGAGTCATAGCTCAAGGTGAAGACGGAATCTCCCGAGGAAGACATGACGGAGGAGCGGGTGGCGGCATCGAGCTTGGGAGGAAAGGCGAGTTCGTCCTGGTCGTCGTTGGCGAGGCGGTAGAGGATCATGGAGCCGCGGGGGGTCTGGTCAGAGGCGCGCTGGGAGCCAAGGGCATGGCACTCCTCGGAAGCAACGCGCTGGATGAGCGGACTGCCCTTGGACGCGCGACGGGCGCGGACGACCTGTGACCCGCTGGCGCCATGAGGGTTCGGATTGAGAGGCGAGGAGACGAAGATGGGAGTGGTCGGGCTGAAAGAGGCAGCGAGGTCTCTCGTATGGGAGTCCTCCGCGAGCAAAGCCTCTGTTCGGTGGAGAGAGGGATCAGCACCGCGGACGGCGATGTCGTTGGCAGAGCTGTCACCTGAGCGCTGGTTGTCGTCGCCAGCGTCGTCGGATGAGCTGGAGGACGACATGCGAGCGACGAGCGACGCGAGCGAGAGAGAGTGGAACTGGTTATCTGCGGGCGCGCATTTGAGCGGGTTAAAGACACGCAGGTCCCAGGCCTGACGCAGCCGCCACTGCCATCACACGCACTCACTCCGCCACCGCCGCAGTCATCTCCTTCATTTATGTATTCGACCCTTGTTTATGTTCCACGCTCGCTGCCCTTGCGACCGACGGCGGTGAGCTCGTGCGCATGTGGCGAGCGCGTCTGGTCCTGTCCCACACGGCGTTCGCCTCCGTGCCTGGCCTCTGCCGCCTCTCCTCCGCGCGCATACGTTCTTCCAGAGTGCAACCGCGACGCCTACTATTGTCGCAGTACACGAACGCGAACGACTCGTTTGGACGTGTCAAACAATTTCTTGGCCCGAGTCCATCATCCAGCACGCCTTTCATTCTGATTGTTCCTCATGGTTGTTGCTCCTTTGTAGGCATGCTCTCTTACGTGTCTTGTGTAGCGAAACCGCTGGCCAAGTCCTCGCTATCTCAGCATCCACGAAACCCGGATGGTGGAATGCGTTCAAAGGCCGCATCGCCAACCTGCGTCATGCCTCGCCCGCGCACAGGCTTAAGGTCAGCGCGCACCCCGATGACGACACAAGCCGTGGTCTAAGATAAGTATTCAGTAAACGACACCGAGCATACACGCGTTCTGTTCATATGTATTTGTACGTACGTAACTATTCAGCGTAGAGAATTACAGCATAGTCGTCGCCCGCACGGGGTATCGGTTTCATATAAATATCGAACAGACACATCGGGCGCGCCATTAAGTGCGGGATTGCACGCGAGCGAGACAGGTAGTTAGCTAGCTAGTGGATGAGGTAGTTGTAACACAGAACAGAAAGAAAGAGACAAGGGAGCCTATACACCACACAGACAGAACAAAGGACGGGAACAGTCACAGAATCGGGAAGAAATTGCATGAGAAACGAGAGAACGCATCTTGAGTTTCACTGAGATTAGTTTGACGAGTAAGATAGGCGTGAGCCCTTCTTGCCGTAAGAGAGGCCATTTGCTGCAACCCTCGTACAATAGTAAGATGACCGTGGAAACACCGAGACAAGCGAGCGAGATAGAGCTTGAGGTCGAGCAGGAGACACATGCTTGTATCATCAGCCCGCATACAATCATACAAAAATGCAACTCACCTAGCCCGTCTATGCTTTTCCCGACACCGCCGCATGCGCGTTCGCATGCGCATTGAGCGCCTCCAGCCTTTCCTCCAGGCCCCTCCCAAGCCCCTCGCGCTCCCATTCCCCACCCATATCATCTAGAATGCCAACACCCGCCGCCTCGCGCTCAAGCGTCGCGATGTTCTGCACACTCCCCCCATTGCTCGCCGCATACTGCGCCTGCGCCTGCGGGAAGCCCATGACGCTCGGCAGGTGCGGCGGCGGCTCGGACACCATCCCCGTCGTCAGACTCGATAGCGGCTGTGTCGCCGCGGGAGTGGAGCTTAGCAGATCCATGTACGAGAGGAACGACAGTCGCTTTGTCGGCGCACCCACACTTGTTTTGGGTGAAGGAGGATGCGACGTTACACTTACGGGCGGGATGGTGACCGTCGTCTGCGGCGACGATGGAAGCGCGTGCAGCGGATGCTCATGGTGCGTCGCTGTCGTGGGCGAGGACGACTCCGAACCTGCTTCGGACGGCGGTCCTGCGGACGCAGAGGCGGAGAAGTAAGCAGAGGTCGGGGTCGCAGGTGTCGTTGGCGATGCTGCGGAAAGGGGACTGTTTGGGCTCATCTGTGTGCTCGGGCTCGTACTCGCCTGTGCGCCCGGTCTTGGGATCAGCATCGGCGGAGACCCCTGCTGCGGCGGACTCGCGCCCAAGACGGGGCTCGTTCCAGCACCCGTGCCAGCACCGGTGCTAAACAGCAGGCTTTTCCGTCCACCTGTCCCCGTAGGACTCGGACTGCGGCTGCTCATGCGCGAGATGGGGCTGGTGAAGCCACTACGAGACTCGGGTGGGGCAGGAGTGATGATGGAGACGGCGTCGAGGCCATCGTCGTCGGTATCGGTGCTAGTGAGGACTGCAGCCGCGCTGTCCAGAACGGAAGGCACCGAGTGCTCGAGCTGCTCGGTAGTTCTTGAGCGAGGAATACGATGGGGATCATTGGAGTGGCTGAGGGTGAGAGGGCCGGGCGCGATGGGCTCGATGTCTCGTTCAAATATGGCAGATGAAGACGAGTGTCTGCGCACGAGCAGGACGATCAGCGAAGATCAGGAGGGGCTACTTGGAGCACGTACACGGATGTGGGCGAGGAGGGAATGCTGGACGGCGAACGAGAGCCGACGCGATGCGGTCGGAGATGATGCTGCGAATTGCGATTGGAGAGTCGGCGCTCGCGTTCGCGGCTCGGACTGGCAGAAATGTTTGCGACAAGGTTGGTATTGGACGTAATGTGCCGCAGCTCAAGCGGCGGCGCGGGCGATGCGAGTTTTGGACTGGAGGCGCTCACGCTCGTCGGCTCTGCGGGGGTGGGTAAGCGATGCAGCATTCGAGTTCCCGAGGCATACATACGAAGGGTTGGATGTTCGGATGTTGCAGCCATGGTGGACGATGGCTGGGAGGGCGAGGGGGTTGATCAGACGGGCGGATAATCTGGAGGTGGCCAAGCGTCGCATTCATAGCCTTTCTGCCGGATCAGTCCGTGATACGTTAACTTATCCGCACGATAACATCCGAGAGTGGACTTAAATTAGTAGCTATGGTCAATTCGAGACCGTCGTCATCGTTGCCCACACTGTTGACGCATCCGCCGAGCTCGTTCTCTCTGGCCCCTCCATCGTCGGACACGCGCACTCCACGAGAACGCGATTCCTGCTTAGTGGAGACACGATGCGTCTCTCGCTGGCCAGTAACGAGGTCTCGCTCACATCTGTCCTGATCTCCATCAACCACGAACTGCTCAGGCACCAGGATCCTGATGTATGTCTCGAGTGCCTTGGAAACGACGTTGTATGCATTTTCCAAGGAGCCACCCAACCCCACTCTTTGCAATTCCCCCAGCTACGACTGGTCTATGTTAGCTAGCAGTAAATGACGATGGTGGTGGACGGGCAGGTCGGCGAGGAGAGATCTAGGATTTTACACCATAGGTGAGTCGTCATACTATTGCATGGCCTGGCGCGTCTTGGCCTCGGCCATGAGGGCGTATGTTCGCTTCCGCGACCGCCACGCTGCATCCTACCCATGCCCTCCATCATCAGCCACGATACGCCAACAAATAGGAACGAGACTTTCAAGACGCTTTGCCGCCCTTCCTTCCCTACCGTCAATGCCAGTCAAGCTTCGTGTGCAATCGACCTGCTGCCCATGCACATCGACATCGTGAGGCCCAGTGAAATTGTCACCCGACCACGACTGCTTTCGTCGGCAGGGTAGTCCTACCTTTGCCTATCGTGAATGCGGGCAATGTCACCACAGTCCAGGCTCATCACGCCAACTCTGCGATAGTCATGCATCACTGCACGCTGGTCCGCTTCTCGGAGCACTACTTCCATTGCGCTCGATGGCAACCGGCGACTTTCCATGCTCACTAGCATACTCTACTGGCGACGCTGACATCGCCTCGAAGCTCACGGCCTCCGCCACCTGCCCAAGCCTGGTACTGCGGTCATGCTCATCATACGTCACGTATACGTACTTCGTCAGCCTCTGTAGCGATTTCTGTAATAAACATGCATGATCGCCGGCCTCTGTCTTTGCGATGTCCCTAATGTCATCGGATATTTTTCGTAATACACATGATCTGCATTTTCCGGCACATTATGCACTCCAAGTGCCAAATCAGCATATTGAGCCCATATTAAAATATCAATAAATGCAGTCAAGGAGAAACATGACTGTTCTACTATCAACATTGAGGCAAACTCCTGGTAAATAGCATGGGCAGGAAGGATTTAACAATATGAAACATGTCTGAATGTATTTGAAGAGAGATATGGTTCATATACCATGGACCATATGTAATCTATGACTAAGTGCTCTGGCTGATGAGAAACCGAGTGTGACCAGCCAAGGCTATCTATATGCCAATGGCTCCAAGCCCCTTGGAGCCATGGATTTTGTTTTCAATCTATGCAATTTAATTGAGACGTTATAGGCTTGTGGACACCCTCAACAGCAAGCTCGGCATCCCATTGGTCCGGCGCAACTGCGGCGCAACTCTGATGTTGCGTTCCGATCGCTCGGCGCCGTCGGCAATCTCCTTGGTATCCTCGTGAGGTACTGTCACAGACAACGTCGTCCACCTCATCTTACACGATAGCTCTGTCTTGCGCGGCACTTGCGCAGGCTTGTTTCCCTTCTTCCCTACACTGTCGCCCGTTTCTGGACCCGGCGCAACTGTATTAAGCGTTCCCTAGTTCGTTTTTTCCAACCTCTCCTTAGGCGCCCGTTCTCCAGCACCTTTTCCAACACTTTGTGGCCGATCTCCGCTTGCGCCAGGTATAAGGCTGTTGCTACGGGTTATACACCATTCCAACGTTGTTCTCTGGGTATCGGCATGGCTAGAGGGTGTACGGTTGGTCGTTGGAGGTCGGACAAGGTTGGGAGCACGACTGGTGAGAGTTCTTTCATCGTTTGTATTGCTTACCAGGCTTGTTTTGTGATGTAGAAGCTGTGATACGGAGTTATACTCTGTATGACGGTACATCTGGCAGGTTTGGTTCGTCTTTTATTCATCCAGTGATCAGGATGGCAGCTCTCTATCGGACCTC